AATATTTTAACTACACAACTTTAATACCAAAATATGATGATTTAATTAACCCAAAAAAAAAGTTAAATTCTTCTTGTAGTTCCTTCTGCTGTGAAACTGTTCGCCAACGTCTCAATGAAGGTAATTTGGTAAATCGAATACCAGCCAGAGGTCCAGCCTTGACCGTAGCTCATTGCAGAGCGCGTTTAGAATTTGCACGAAATCATATCCAGTGGTTGGAGGCTGATTGGAATAGAGCTCTGTTTACAGATGAGAGCAGATTCTGTCTTTACAATTGTGATGGGGCGTATTTGCGTGTACTGACGTCAGAACGAACGGTATGCACAGTCTAACATGCGAGGAACAACGTTATTCGGTGGAGGTGTCCCTGTACGTCCAATGAACGTTCGCTCAGGACGTTAAAGGAACGTCCATAGGACGTTTGGTACAGCGACATTCGGACCAATATAGGACGTTAAAAGGGCGTCCTTGGAAACAAAGCGGACGTTCGAGGGACGTCCTTAAAGTCCGTGAGGGACGTATTATTGACGTCCACTGGGAGTACATGTGCTATTAGGGTATATTCTGTCAAGAGTCATCGGTCCACATATATTATGACCTTTTCAAAATGCTTTGAATGCACCTTTAAAAAATTTTAGTTTACGATCTGCATTTTACAATCTGAACTATGAACCACGACAGCGAGTCTCCAAAGAAAATTCTTAAATTTTCTCTTCAGCACTCAATATATTCTCTGTTTGCTATTTTTCTCATCCTGATACCATTGGTGTGATCCTTTGGAGTGACTCTCTGTACAAGCTCTGTTCTCAATAAGTCGTAGTACTTCCAATACGACTTATTTTTCCTAGCCCTGTATAATTTTAATAAAGTGTACTTAATTTTTACGTGAACCTTACTACTTTGTCGACAGTTTCCCATACAAAAATACTCACACATAGTTGTTATAACAGTACTTAACAACTTACTATTATTCGCAGGTATTAATATTACCCAGCAATTAACAATATAATTAATATATGCGCCGAGCATTGTTATACTTTTTCAACGTTACCATCTTTATAATTTCATTTGTTTCCTGTTGGTAATGTTAACATCTTTCGGGTGAAAGAGTTGATAGCATCGATACATTTTTTACATAACGGGAATTAGTGTTAATTCTGAAAAGTACATGTAAGTGAATACATTATTAAGAAAATTGCTAAGAAATGAACCCGTATTACATTACATTTTGTTCAGTTTGTCTATTATAAAACGATGCAATGTCTAAGCAAAAACGCTATTTTAGTTAAGAGCTGTGTTTTGTTCCCGTTTTCAATCAAGAATGCATTCAAAGTTTCAATTTTTTGCTTCTAAAGATAGGTACTTGTACCTATTACTAAACGTAATTTCTACACTGCTTAAATAATTAGGACTTAATTTTAATTAATAACACAGAGGAAAATAACAATTTTAATCTTTCTTTTTTCGTATGCAGTCTAGTTTTTTTTTTATTATCGACAGCTTTAATAAAAGGTAAAAATAAGAAAATATTTACCTGGGCTGTATACTTAACTAGCTGACCCAACGACCTTCGTACTTATACCTTAGAATTAATAAATCTTTTGTTAATTTTTTAGCTGAGGTATAGTCGGTTCGCTATATTTACGCGGGTTTCGGATTAACAAAATTATTCTAATGACTCATTGATAACCAGTTGCAGTAAACGACTTCCCAGAAAATTAGGTAAAAACTGCATTAATGGTCATATTTTAAAATACATTAAAATAACATTAGGGTAGGTATAAATTTGTTACAATATTGCAGTTGAATTGATTCTTTGCCAGTGTTGACATTGTATGTTTGGTGGAAATATTTAAAAATGCCTAGACGTGTGTTAGATGTAGATAGTCTAATTTGTAGTGTACATAAATATTTTACGGATGAAAAAGAAAATGGCGCTCCTTTAAAATCGGTAATGTCTGTTCAACAACGCGTATGTGATGCTCTAGGAATTAGTGAAACCAAACTAAGAGGAGTATTACAAAGTCGCAATAATGAACGGCCGAAAGAAGATCACCGAAAAACTCGCCTATCATTTTCAGAACAAGTCTATGGCAAGTGATACATAATTTGGGTTTCAAATTTCAAAAAGAGGATAACAGAAAAGCCCTTTGTGAAAGAAGATCTGTTGTGCATAAAAGAATTAACTTTCTAAGAAAATATTCTAAATTAAAAGAAGAAAGGGCAAATTTTATATATTTAGACAAAACATGGATATTTTCTAGGGGTGCAACCAAGAGAGAAGGGAAGCGACACATAATTTTACATGCAGGAGGGAAATTGGGTTTTATAGAAGATGCTGATTTAATATTTTCATCTAAATCAAAATCAAGTGACTATTACGATAATATGAACACAGAAATGTTTGTAAAATGGTTACATGAAAAACTTTAAGTGAGCCCAGCGTAATTATTTTAGACAATGCACCTTACCATTCTGAAGTATTAAACAAAAGTCCAACGAATTCTTTTACTGTTAATAATATTAAAGAATGGTTGACAAAGGAACATATACCATTTACACAACATATTTTAAAATCAGAATTATTACGCTTGGCAAATATCCACGCAAAACCAAAAACCTTTGTTGTGGATCAGATTATTGAAAGTTACGGTCATCAAGTTTTACGTCTGCCACCCATTCTGCCACCGTATCATTGCCAGTTTAATCCCATCAAATATATGTGGGGAATAGCAAAACAATATTATGACAACCATATTGGGCCTAACGGTTATAGCGACGACGCAGTTCGGGAAACTTGGCGAAAGGCACTTTCAATTGTAACTCCAGAAGTGTGATGCAACTGTATATTCAAGTGCGAGAAACTAATAGAAGATTATAGAATATAATAGAAGATTAGAAATAAGTCCAATCATAATAACAATTAATGGTGATGGCAGTGATGACGATGACGATTATGATATTTTTGATGATAATGACTGATTTTAATTTTTGTTGGCAAGTTAAATTTTTTTATTTTTCATTAGAAATTCTCTCCATGGAACAAATATACATAGACCATATTTTCTGTGTGAAGTGTAATATAAAATTATTATTAGGTTCATATTAGCCACATTAGACTCCATTAATGAAGTAATTCTCCTTATTATACTGTCAATTATATAAAAGATTTTCCATTATTATTTAATTAAAAAAAGTTATGGATTATTTTTCATTCCATTTGACCAGTTGATATTTCCCCAAAGAGCAGGTAATTAAAACTGGGTACTTACAATAAAATTTTTAATACGAAACCCGCGTAAATATAGCGAACCGACTTTATATTGAATTTTTTATATTAATGTCAAATTAATTAAGTTCAATAAAAATTCAAAAAGGAGCGAATTCACGCGTGACAACAAAGTAATTATTCAATATAAGGTTGAATGTTCGAATAATTAAACTTTGAGGGTATACAAGGCAACTATCGAACACGGTGATTAATTTAATCTTGCCCAAGTACTTTCGATCAATAGATCATCTTCAGGGGCATTTCGTCAATTGTGGCCTATCCGACATAGTAGAATGTCATAAATGTAAAATTTTGACATAACAATACAAAATACAATACACTAAGACAAACAAACACTTTAAAATTTATATGGAGAAGCTACATATTGTATAGAAGCCGGAGACAGAATCATTCTGGGCTCTACGTGCCAGGGTTTTTGTTAATTTTTTGGTTTTTTTGGTAGGTTGCCTGAAACAACAAACCATAATTAGTATATGTTTATACTATATGTTATGTATAATATAATAATATAATTTTAATCAACTTAAAAGCAACTGGTCCTACGCTATACGTTACTATTTGTCCACGTTGATATTTGTCTTCTCTATGTGTTGTGTTATTTTTGTATGATTTCTCTCTGGTATTTTGTTTTCTCTCTGATGTTTTTATTTTTTTCTCTCTAGTATACGTTGGGTTTTATTCTACTATTTGTTGTTTACTTGTGATCAGTATGGATTAAAACTCAACGTTAAGAAAACTAAATATATGATAGTTAGCAAACAAAATTATATACATGATGACGGTATAAAAGTCGGAGATGCCACACTGGACAGAGTAGAGAAACTCGTGTATCTCGGCAGTAATATCAATGAGAGCTGGGATCCAACCGCAGAGATTAAAGGCCGAATAGAACAAGCCCGAGCTGCCTTTGTAAAAATGAGAAACGTACTTTGCAGTCATGATCTTAGCATTGACCTTAGAGTTCGTATGATATCTTGCTACATCTTTCCTGTCCTGCTGTATGGAGTAGAAGCGTGGACCCTAACTGCAGCTATGCTTAAACGCTTGACAGCCTTTAAGATGTGGGTATACAGACGACTACTGAAAATAAGCTGGGTCGACAGAGTTAGAAATGAGGAGGTCCTTAGACGGCTGAACCAAACAACACAACTGATCAATATAATAAAGAAACGCAAGCTGGAATACTTCGATCCAAGGTAATCGTGGTCCTGGTAGAAGAAGAACATCATGGCTAAAAAATCTAAGGCAATGGTATGGAAAATCAACTACATCGTTATTTAGAGCTGCTGTCAATAAAGTCACGATAGCGAATATGGTAGGGTAGCCAACATGATATCCAACGATCGATAACGGTCATGGAACTAGAAGAAGAAGAAGATTTGTTGTTTCGGTCTTTTCTGTTTCCATTTATGGAAAGCGTCGTATAATCTCTCGCGTGCATCTGAGAGTGGGCATTCTGTTATTTAATAACAATACATTGTATCTGTGCTTAAATTTTTTTTCTAAATGAAAACCTTCATGTAAAGTCTCTTCTATTATTGGTGTTCATCAGTTTATTGTCAAGGGGTCTCCCGTTGTTGATTTTTCGAAAAGGTATTCACTATTTTTTTCAAATAATAGTGATATTAAAAATCAATTTACGTGGAGAGTTAGGTGCTGTGTACACATGTAGAATTTAAATGTTGAGGAAATGAATGTCAAAGAAGAAGAAAAAGGTTAGTGATTTAATCTAACCTTAAATTTTGTTTATATTCTTTATTGGTTGGAAAATTGTTTTGTTAAGTGATAAGAGAATGAAATGTACATTTATATAACAATTTAATAATGATACATTTAATTTTCAAACTTCTATCTTTACTAGTAAGTAATACTTAATGTGTTTTATTAGAAAATATAAATTTAATTTGCAGATTTTTTCAAGAGCTGATCTTGAAGATGGGACCAATGCTTATTCGAATTCAGAGGTACTAGGATATACCGAAGGTGTGGTTGGAAACGAAAGTTTTGTTTACTACTATATTCATCATTCTGGAAATATAGTATTATCTTTAAGCTCAAGGTATATTATCTCTAAATTGTAGGCTATATTTGATAAATACATACTTTCAAAATTACTGAACTATAGATTTGTGATGTGAGGATCATATCATTGATATAATTCAACTACCAAAAATCAGAAGTCTGTGGGAATTGGAGTCTATTGGAGAATGCACAGAATATTATGAAAGAATAGAATTATGTACATGGGTTTTCCTCATTCCTTATTGAGTCCATTCTAAAAATTCAACTTTTTATCTTCCAAATGTTCATTTTTATTTCATTTGTCTTTTTTTATACTTATTTGTTATTTAAATCCCAATGTTCTGCATTATATACCTATATCCAGATACTGCTTTTTAAGGCATTGAAAATTATTTTTTGTATATGAGCATTCTACAAAATTCTATTTAGTTTGGTTTGTTAAAAGAAATCTATAATTCTTTGCCTGTTGTCGTTACTTATTTCATGCAGGCTATGTATACCTGTTGTTCCCTAATATAATTCCTTTCTTCCTATTTTTGCGTTTAAATCTCCTAAAATTTTTTTAACACTATAATTGTTTATCTTTGACACTTTTTGGTCTAATATGGCATGCAAATTTTCCTTTTCTTCTGCTTCTTTGTTCTCTGTAGGTGCGTGTAAGTTAATAAGATTTGTACCAAAGAATGTTTCTTTCATTTTCAGAATAGCTATCCTTTCATTAATATTAGTAAAACTTTTTTACTGCATGATTATATCTTTCACTTATTATGAAACTCAACCCCACTTATCCACCTCGTGAATTGCTATGACATATTAAGTATTTTCCATATTCCCAGATGCCTCCATTCTTCCAATATCTATTTTGTAGATTTTTGTTTATTCAATAAGGTTTTGTAGTTTTTCTATTTCTCCTAATGTTCTTCAATGTTCCAATTAAAATGTTTCCACTTTCTTTATTTTTCTTCTTGCTGTTAGATATACTTATTCACCTTTTTGTCACTAGTGGGGTATCTTTTGGTTTTAGCCAAATTTGTTGTATTTGCTTTCTAGTATTAATTTGACTACAGGTTGCAAAATTCTCTGATGTTCATTTTCTTTGAAAATTCTTCAGCAGTTGACTAATGATGATAGTCATGTTCAATACTCTTAGCTCTGTTATTGACCTGATTTTTCCTAATACTACAATTATGAGGAATTATGCATTGATTTATTATTGCAGTTTGATCATTTTTCTGACCTACTTTTAAACTCTATTATCTGTTTCTGTATCATTAAGATTACAGTCAACTTTTATTATCAAATCAAAACTGAAATTATCAAAAGTTCTCATAAAAAAATTATTCATATTATCATTAATAATTATTCGTATGTTTTAGTGTTGGAGATGCTGATTTGTATATATCAGATACTCAAGTATTTCCCACATATTATCCAGATACATATGATCTACATTCAGCTACTTGTGGAATTGATAATGTAGAAATTCCTTTAAGGTAAATAATCAAGTTTTAAGTTTATTCTGATGTTTATGTCTAAATTTAAATGGTAAAAAGCTGCAAGTGTTTGAAATGTGGATTTATAGAAATATGCTAAGAAACAGCTGGACCAGTAGAACTACCAATGCTACCAAGTCTTAAGGAAAATGAATACTCAGCTACAATGTCCTCATTCAAACTTAATATGAACAGGTACAACTAAATCTTGGAGGAAAGATAGATAGCAGAAACAGTGTAGGTCAAATGAAGAAAGTGTGGCTAAGAATTATAAGAGATTGCCAATACAATAGTAATTACTGACAAAACGAATCTCTATAAGCACAGTCTTAATCTCAAAACTACAAAAATTAAAAAAAATTACTCTGCTGTAACCAAAACTCCTTTCCGAATCTGACTGCTAAACAAACAGGCCATTGTAAAAAAGGGCGGCGTTATTGTTGTTGGCCTCTGTTTCGTTAGTGCGAAATTTAACTTGAGATTTAAAAGGAGGTTTAAGTCTCCCACCTGATCAAGTCTCCCGGGTACCCCTATAAAAATGGAAACTGAACAAATGTCCTATCATATCAACCTGATAAACCATAGAAGAACTGTGCGAAAGCTTTTGAAAAGAAGTGGATATGACAAAAGATTTCTCGTAACCTATGGAACTATACATGTCATTATAGCAACCTGTTGATGTTTTTGAATAACTTGTTTTGCGAATTTTGTTGACATACAATTTTAGTAATAGATATTTTAAGTTTTTAGTAATAGATTAAATTTAATTTATTAATTTTATGTATTTTATTTCTTTTTAGCTTTAAAAGCCCTATTGCAGTTGGAGTCTACGGACACTCGGCACATGAAGTTAGTAATTTTGTTTTACAGGTTTTAAAAAATCCGGAAGCAGATAGAGCATTTGCTATAATAGAAGACGAACTTCCTCAAGAAATGAAAGATTCTACACAAGTGCCAAATGAGATTAAATTCAAAAACGTTAAACAGAAAATTAAGAAAAAACATCACCAATCGGCACAGAGACCTAGTGGATTTGAATCATTGTTTGAAATTATAGGACTAATATTTTTGTGATACATACAATTTAAGAAAGTAATTTGTGTAATTATCTAGTCAACCAAACATTGTACCAATATCAAAATAATTATTTTAATTTTGAAAAATTTTTTATTTACAATATCATTATACTCATGTTGGAAATGTATGATAGTACAGTTTTTATGGCAGAAGATATGAGGCTGTTTAGGATATGATATTTATATGTAGCTGTTCAAAACAATGAACTACAGATATTGATATCTTATCATTTTTCATTGACAGATTTCCAAATGTTATGGTGCAATTGATGGCACACACATTTGAATACAGTCACCTGGTGGGAATGCAGCTGAAACTTTTAGTAATAGAAAGGGGTATTTTTCAAGAAATGTACAGATGGTTTGTGATGCAAATTTAACTGTCATGGATGTAGTTGCTAGATGGTCTGGTTCCTCCCACAATAGTCATGTATTTGATAATTCTCTGATAAGAGCTCAGTTTGAAAACAATGAGTTTGGTGAAACATATTTCCTGGGTGATATTGGCTATCCATGCCGAAAATATATTTTAACTTCCCTTCATGATACAATTCAAATAGTCACAGAAATAAAATTAACTTTTAATTGTGTCGACTTTTTCTTATTAAACTCTGGTAATAAATCTACGAAATAAACTAAATATGACACTAATAACTGAATGAATATGATATTTATGATACAATAATGAATATGTTTATTACAGAATTTTTCTACAACAAATAAATACCTATAAGAAAGTGTTTATACCCAGTTTTAACAGATAACTTTGGGAAAAAATGTCACGGGATCTGTTAGTAATTCATTTGTTTATATTTTCAAGCAATACATGTTATTTCAAGGAAGTTATAAAAATAAGACCATATTATCAGCAAGTAGATACATAACCGTTTCATTTTACAGTATTTGAAGAATGAAGTATGTACATATATTTCAGTTTCATTGTTAAGTTTTTTGTGATTATTATTATTCGTGAGTAAAGTGTTCGATTTTAAGATTGCAAACCGTAATTTGTGTGCTTATTCGAGTTGTGAAAATATTAGATGAAATAAGCATTCCTTAACTATTCACCGTTTTCTAGAGGACACATCAAGGTTTGTAAATTAATTTTTCCTCTTAAATATTGCTTGGATACCAGTATATGATGTCATTTATATGATACTTCTTCAATAATAAGATAACAACTAAAAATTTTTATTTTAATAACTAATTTACAATAATATAAAATTAACCAAACGGTATTAAATTTCTAAATTCTCGAACTCATCCCCATATTGATGTTTCAGTTGTAGAACCTTTTCTTTAACTGCCAACTCTAGTTTCTGTTTTTCTAATTTTAAAATGTCTCTACTCAACCCTTCCTCTTCTTTTCTAATTTTAAGAATATTTAATTTTATGTTTTCCTTCTCTGAATCTTCTTTACACTTATTTTTCTTTTTGTGATGTGAGACTACTCCTGATATGTAATGAAGTCTTTTGCGCTTTTCTGCTAGGTTAACAGAATCAAGTTCAATGCATTGTTCAAGACTACCTTCATCCTGTACTTCTTCATCAACTTCTGCAACCTCACTTTCATACCGAAGAAGTTCATCAAATGGAGCGGTACTATCATAAATATTTACTATTGGCTGCGCTCCAGTAGTACTTGCCATATATAAGTATTTCTCTCCAACGGAATCCGTCTCTTGAAATTTATTTGAACCACCACCGGTTTTGTAAATTTCCACTTTTTCATTAGCCTTGTCTTTTTTTGCTTTCTTTTTAATGCTCTCGTAAAGCAGTCTTAACTGGCCTGCATTTCTTACTCCACTTTGTGCCGTTGCATTAAACTCCACCACGGTGATAAACTCCCATGCTTCGTTTTTCAATTTTACACTTGTGCCATCGGTTTGTTTGTTTTCAATTACATTGAAGTTTTGCTTTACTATTTCCAAGAGGTTTTCTTTCTCCTGCTCTGTGTAGTTTTTTCCTCGCTCTCGTTTCTTATCGGTATAAAATTAACAACCTAATTTTTTATATTGTCTTTTTCTTATTTTTTATGTAAATTCTGTACAGCGCCATCTGTAACTATACTAAGAAACTACAACTAGTTTTCTAATGGATCCATTAAATATTTTATTCATCAGTTAGTTATTTACTTGGTAGTTTTATTTTATACTACGGAATTGAATTAACTTTCCGATTTACTTGCAGAGTAAATTTAATCCACAGATATTTATTTGTCGTTTATAATACTGGCCATAAATATTATGTTATTAATACCAGAGAATTAAATTTCGGGAAAAATAAAAGATTAGAATATGATGTACGTGCTGCTATCTACTCAAAGAATTGTTAAACGTTAGTTTATTTGAATGCCACTCATTTTAACTGCGGCGTGAAGATGCCCCCTTATTTTAAATTAAAACGCCTAAAAACACAACTTTTGTGAGCACGAAATAGCAGTGTGTTTTTATAGGTGTCATTAAAACAGGCTGTTACACTCACAGACCATTGTTACAGTGTTACACTTTGCACATTTTCACGGCTTTTATACATAGGTGGCGCTGATAGTACTAAATATAACAGATATTAAACCAATTAGTTTTCTTTGAATAGATTTCTTTGGAATATAATAAAGAAATCTAAACGGCAGTTTTATGAAAATTATGTAGAAATATGTTAGTAAACCATGTTACCCGAGGGGACCAATTTACTCGACTTACCCCTATCTGAAATACCATCAGAATCACACTGACGATAAAAGTTAGCTACATGATAAAGTTCCGTCTTCTATCGAAGGTTGGGTATTAACATGGCAATTTTCGCATTATTTATGGTAGCTCTAAAAAGTTGGATTTGGTTTCAATTAGATCATTCTCTGAGATTAGGAAATCAAGAGGTCTATCTTTTTTACCTTCAATTTTACCATCCGTAATCAAACGTAGCAGTCTGTCTCTTGATCCTGTCATAACATTTCCAAAATAGTCAAGTTTTTGCATTTTAATAATTTGAACATAGCGTCCTTATTTTTATTAACTCTGCGTGGAACTTTACTATTGATTACTCTGTTCACGATATAACCCCAGAATAATAAAGCAATTGTTATTTATTCTGTGATATAACGGTACATTCTAAGATTGCATCAGCTTCCAAATGCCAGCAATGACTGTATTCCGCCATTAGTTCATCAAATCTAATCTTACTCAGTCTACTAAGTACTTCAGACATAAAGAGAAAACATTAAACAAATGATATTTTTACTACAGACAGAATAATCTATCAACGACTATCTTATCTTCTAGAGACGAAATATTTTTGAAGGCACCAGTTGTCAAGAACAAGGCTTTGTCTTTGTTTTTCACAACCCGAAAAGTGTCTTTGTGGTAATCACTAACCCACCATTGTTTAAAATTGTTTCAAAATATTTTATTCTATTTATATGCAACTTCTTAGTCCTAAGTTTTAATTTCCCTAGACGGCAACTCTGTAAGCCTTAGGCAAAGTGGTTTCAATTTTATAATAGTAGTATGTTTTCATGTTGCCATAAGATCTTTATTTATACGTCCATGCCATAAGAGCACAATAAAGAACGTGTGAAGATATTTCTTCTAATAAGTTATTTCTTTACCCTATCAATCAACAATTATTTACCATCACGATTAACCAGCGACCAGCCAATTTCAATCAACAATTTAAACAACCATTATTTTTTAGCCTGCTAAATTCCCCAAAGAGAATAAGAAATATATTGGATTGTGGATTTTAAATAAACATTGCATACAATCTAAATACTTATTTGGAAACATTTTTTCTAATAATAAATCCACGCATATAAAAAAGCATTTAGTGTTTTAATTTATTTTATTTATTTTTGCAATTTCTATTTCATTATTTTCAAAGAAATGATAGAATGTCCTTTCAATTCATAATATTGAAGATGGTTGGCTGAATTTAAATTAATAGGCTTTGATACTCGCCGAAATACATGTTATATGTCTTGGAATTTATTTTTATACAATTAATTATTCTAAACCAAAAACCCAAACATTAACCAATATAGATACCTATTACTAAAACTATGTTTTATCTAAATATGAATTAAAAGTGGTTAAAAGTTTACTCATTTATGTTAAAAATTATGTTAAAGATTATGTTATATCACGAAAACCAAATAAAATTTCAATCATTGTGTAAGAAATAAGGGCTTTTGCCCCCTTATTTGTTTCACTTAGCCATACAACACGTGCACTAAACTTTAAAAGTCGGCTTCACTTATTTTCCCCGACTTCTATATCTACGAATAATATTCGCATTCTCAAACGACTATAGGTAGCAGCACTTGTTTCGAAAGATGGTGGACGAAATTGGGATCTCGTTTGTTGACATTGTAAATTTAATAGGGAATTTTAAAAGACCCCTAGTTGAAGGCAAGCAAACTCATTACCTATTTTTAAAATTTGATGAAATTAACACCAGTTTTAAACTTTAATTTATTTAAATTTTTGACATTTATCCCTTTTTATTGGTTAGTTATTTTGACAGCTAATGGCAGCACGGTCGCTTGAACAGAGTTTTCTGTATATTTTATGTTAGGAACCTACCTATAAGGTCGGTTTTCTGTAACATCTATAGATTTCTTTTTATATAAGTCCCAGTCGTAATATATAGATGGCGCCACCAATAACGAATTAGTATAATTTAAAAAGTTTTTTGTACATCTTTTATCAACGTCTGTTTGCATTGCAATTTTTAGAAGGCTCAGATTATAAGCAGAAATCTGAATTGTGTTTCGAAACTATTTTACGGATTTTGTAATTAGAGTCGCTAGCGCGTCCGTATAGAAGCCATTTTATTGTTGCTTCTTAAGACAGAAAATATTGATTTTTCACGTTGAGAACACCTATGAATAGCTGTTCTGATGAGACCGATTAGGTCGAAATACGTATTAACAGATACATAGGGGTTGTTTGCGTGAAATCAAATATTTGCTCTCTTTTTCATTTTCCCATGACCTTTCTTTTTCTGCTTTCACAGCTATTGTAACCTCTTTTCTTTTCTTTATTTTTATATGCCTCATAGTCTTCAAGGCGCTTTATACTTAGATA